GGTTGCAGCGCCTTAGCTGCAACCTTGGCACGAGTAATAAAAATTTGCGACCCGATGCTCTTGACGAACCTGAGCTACCGCCTTGTCGCCGAGATGGGCGGGGATACCATCGAACAGCTTGAGCGGATGAATATCCGCCTCCTCAAATACCTCACCGATCGCGCGGATGATCCCATTGCGATTCCAGCAAGCAGGGATTTCCCACACACCGCTCATGCAAGCACTAGCGTCCTTAGGGAGGGCAGAGGTATTGGAGGCAGAGGTTTTGGGACTGCCTACCTGGGTTAGGCTGGATTAGAATTCGATTAGATATTGATGAAGATAAGGGGGGAAGAGTCCCGGCTCTTTTCTCTTCTCTTTTCTCTTCTTTTTTCTTTCTATTCTTCCCAGGTTTGCTCCGTCCTCGTTGATTCCGGGGGATCGTATCTTTTCCTACTTACCCATGCGAGCGATTACCAATTTCTGACCAGACATGAGAAAGGGAGTGGTAATAAAGTCAAATATCTGGTAAAGGAGCAGATGCTAAGCGCCCCTAGCAGAAGGGGGGAAAGGCGGGGGGGAAAGGGGAATGCGGCAGCTAGGAAACAAATTCGGGAAGGGAAGAAGCTAAGGCAACAGGCGGGGCCAGGTATGATGAGAAATTGACAAGTTTTGGGTGGGGCAAGAACGTCATGGGACTCAGTCGGTGGTGTTAATAATTAATGTAATTATTATTATCATTGCTTGAATAACCGTTACTGCATTAACCCCACCATAGCCTGTCACTCGTCTAGAAACTAACAGTTCACTTCTTCATCCCAACAAATCCTCAGAGCCGATCACGGGCACCTGCACTACTGAGTCAAACCAACAAACGTCAATCCTGTCTTCTGCACGCGACACTTACGGGCGCTCGAGTACTTCGCGCAGGCACCCTGCCCACACCTGTGACTCACATGTCTACCCGGTGACCAAAGTGCAGCTAAACCACTGAATCATAGCCCCGCGTAAGAGAACAGGAGCTTATATATATATCCACCATGTCCTGCCTTGATGGAAAGGGGAAGCCTGCGGTAGCCGTCAAGGGTGGAATTTGTTGGCCGTGGGGCACTTTGCACGGGGCGCGGTATGTAGGTCATTATCGCTGCAGTATTTCGGTTCGCTGGTTCGCCCGCATAGGGCGGGGGGGGTCCAGCTTTGGTATAAAAGGAGAGTATGGTAGCGCTATTACTCATAGGCACACTCGCGTGATGATTTGGGAGATAAGGCGGGGTGTGGGGTGTGTGTTAAGGTGGTGTTTCTGCTCTTTTTTTAAAGTTTTCTTGTACAAGCATACTGGTGCCGTACAGGTACTTTTTTCCTTATTTTCTGGTTCTCTATTTATCCGCTTGCCTGATATATTGTGTGGGTAGATCGCTCTAGGTGGTATCGGGGCACGCAAACAGAAGATATATATAAAAGAAAGCGAAACCCAATTACCGCTCAGTTTTTGCAGTCGTATGGTGGGAGGGAACAGGCGAAGTAGAGGGGCAGGAGGCACATTGGAGTGGCAATGGCGGTTCTGGTAGGAGGGTAGTTGCCGCTGGGATAATTGGGATGAGGGAGGGCGAGGAGGAGGGTGAGGAGGAAGAGTATGAGGGGGAAGGGACGTCGACGGTTGCGTCACTGGTTAGTGAGCGCTCTGAGAGCGGGTCTCAGGCACTCGTGCCGGCTCCAGTGCAGCCAGGAGGGGAGGAGTTGGGAGGTTTTAGGACAGTGTTCGCAACGGGGCAGTCCGTCCGTCCTGCGGGTAGGACGAGGACGGACTGCCACTCGTAGTCCGTCCGGTCCTGGAGAGGATTTTGCCCGGGGCTTTTGGCATGAGGACGGGGAAGACGATAGGGCCCCACCACTAGTTTATAAAATGTCTTAGATTGTGGGGCCCCATGGGGCCCTATCAAATGGTTATTTATCAAGGCAGCGGGGAAAAAAACCCATACTTGTTATATTCTGGTATCGTTGGTAATGCTTGCTTGCTGCCTTTGATAAAGTACGGTAACAAATCTTTTCGTCCGGCACGGCAACGGCAACCCCACCACCACAACAAATTTACTACTCATACAACCACAACTGCTTAGAATAAACTGAAAATTTAGGTATATGTCCAGTATATGTAAGAAAGCCTTCATATGAAATTAAGGAGCAAAAAAATCAATACTTTGTATACCACCCCTTTGCATCCAAAACAGCAGCCACCCTACTAGGCATAGACTCCCACAAGCATTCCAAAAATTCCCCTGCAATATCCTGAGCCCAGACCTGATTCAGAGCTTCTGCTAGACATTTTTTAACAGTATCAGGACCCTCCTTAGTCTTGTGAATGTTAGGAAAGTGCTGATGCAGCTTTTCCTTTACCCTTTTCCAACAGTGCTCAATAGGATTGAGGTCTGGGGAATTAGGAGGCCATTCCATAACCTGTATATGGTTTTCTGTAAACCAAGCCATAGTATCTCTTGCAGTATGTATCTTTGCACCATCCTGCTAAAAGATAGGATCCCCAACTATGTCCTCTACCTCCTGTCAGACATCAACTAAGCCATCCTCCAAAACTCCAATATATACAAATCTATCCACACTCTTGGTAAAAATAGGAATCAGTGGACCCTTATTTTTACCCCAAATGCAAGCCCAAACCATGAGCTTTACTCCTGGTCCCTTTGTAACTCCTTGGATACAATCCTCATGCCACTTTTCCTCAGGTGTTCTGAATAACCAAATACCCTTAGGATCTTTAGACTTTTCAACCATGCATTCATCACTAAAGATGACACCTTCAAAATCCTCTTTTGTCCAATCCTTATACTGCTTCGCCCAGTCTAACCTCTTGATAGGATGTTCATTCTTTAACAATGCTCTCTTTCTTGCCCTCCACTTCTTTATGTTGACAGAGGCTAAAGCTCTCTTGATTGTCATCACAGAGGCTTGAGGGGAAACCTCATTACACAATTCTGATAGAGGCTGGCGGTGTGCCTTCTTAGACTGTCTGACAAGGCGGCGGCAGGTTCTGGCATCGATAATTTTATCTCTGCCAGGCATGGGAAGGTTTTTCTCATCACCCCTCTTTTGATACTGGGTATAGAAACTGAGAACTGTACTTTTGGGACAATTTAAGAGATTCCCAATCTCAGAAAAAGAGAGACTTTTTTTTCTCAGGGCAACAATTTGCCCTTTTTCAAACTCAGTAAGATGGCCAGTCTTTGCCTGAGCCATAGTTGTTGAGGAGTGGTTGATTGTTAAGGTGGGGTTAATTGTGGGGTTGCTCGGTAACCACTGATCGGACGAAAAGATTTGTTCTTGTACTTTATGTTGCATTCTCAAATTGGAACAAGTAATGACTTCTGTGTAATTGAGGGATGGAAAACAGAGGAAAATAAATGCTAGATGCCTAACAAGTATAGCCATTACCTGGCCTAAATTCTCAGTTGCTGGCAGTGTCCTCATGGTAGCATGGGGGCTAGGTAAGAGAAAAGAAGAAACAAAAGTACAAAATCAATAGTATTATATCCATCCATCTTCAATGATATCACTTTCACAATCCCGAAATCTCGCAGGTCTAACAAGCTTTCCCACCATATTTTGCTCCTGAAGTCAAAGCAATATACTCTATCTAAGTTAAGTTAGCTTTAGAAATCAGATCAAAAATATAGAAAAATAGAATATAAATTTGGATAAGAAGTAACATACCTAATCTGATACCAGACATTGAAGTGTAGAGTACCTTATAAGGAGGTAGTAAAGGAGCGAATACCTGATGTGTGTACTTCTAGCGCTTTTAACGTACTCGCCATTAAAGCAATATTATTTATACTGCTACTTGCAAAGGCAAGACCAGAGTATTTCCATGTTTTCAAACACTCTGATATGTTAATTATATCATCTCCAAGCTGGTTTCTCCGATCGGTAATTAGTAGTTTCATGGTGCATATAAATTAACTATTAGCTATTATTGTAATACATACTTGTCTTTATATATCAGAGAAGTGAAATAGCAAAAGCAGCATACCTACTAAAAAGTCATTCAGGATCTGCAGACATTGCCAGAATACTAAAGACTTCAAGAGCCATCTTTGCTACATTCTGCGTTCGAAAATCAGACCCGTGCTCACACCAGTAACTCAATGGAGCAACTAATCACTCATCCTTCCTATCTCGTTTCAGGTAGCCGTCGAGTTCATCATTGTCATCCCCTGCAAGTCTTGCCCACTTGTGCCACTTCCAGTCTGGGAGATCCTGAAACTCTGAAATTTCTCCTTGTTGCTCAGTTCTTAGACTTGCAAATTGGATATGCTGAGTGACCCATAACTGATTCTCTTTTGCTGTCAATAGTTCTGGTCAGTATTCTGACTGCCATAGATTTTGAACTTCTTTCTTAGCATTAGAAATCCAATCTGGACAGTCCACCTGCTCAGTTTTGAAGTACTTGAATTTCCTTTCTGGGTGTAGGGCAGTGGCTGCGAAGTGTACTAGCATTAGGTCGGTTAAGGTATAGTACCTTTACAAGTT